ATGTTTATTACCATCTTCAATGCATTATTCAAATTGTTTGTTTTATTTCATTTGAAAATAAATTACTTTTCTTGCATCATTTTAATATTTAAAACATTATTTGTAAATATGCAACAAGTGAATTTATATAAAATACTTGGTAGATAATTTGGAGAAGGTAGAAATGTAAAAATAACTTTTAAATTAATAGAAAAAGATTGAGAAAGTTAACGAATTCTATTTAAAAGGATTTACTCTCTTTAAAATTATTGTTGAATAATGTAAACAAATAAACAAAGATTGGTTAATTTTGAGAACTATATTGTTATCATGGCTGATCAAATTTTAATTAAAAAATACTAATACATTATAATTTTGTTTTTGAAATCAAAATGATTTGAATTTAAGGAAATATTTTGTCTGTTTATGTCTATAAAAAACACTTAAAGGAACAATGTACATTACCAGTTTACGAAGGAGAATATACTGTTTTTACTAATATAAATGATATTAATTTAATGTTGCATTCATATACTCACGTTTTTAAACATGTCACAGTTATTAAAATGCATTATAAGCAATCTTAGAATGGTATCACAATTGAAACTGCATATGCAAAATTGTATTCGTTTCTTCTTTATTGTAATATTATTACTTTATTTTTATATTGCATCAACATGGAAAAAGATATATTTTATTTTTTTTTCATAGATTTGTTAATTTTTTAATGTATACAATTATATATCGTAAAAATTGATACTAAATTATGGAAACAAATGTTTAAATATAAGTTTTTAAGGCAAAATAGCCTTTTTGTATACAATATACAAATTATAATAATACTGCATATAAACATGAATCATGTTTACATAATTTTATAGTTTACTATAACTCGTGTAAAAAGTAGAATTTTAGTATACTTTCAGGAAAGAGTATGCATATGGTAATTAAGTGTAGCAATTACATTTTTTAAATAATAAACGTTATATTGTATCCAGCAATACCATAGAATCTGGCGCCAAAGTTTACATTGCGAAATAGTCAATACCATTTAAAAAAGTACAATGGATTATAATACCAATAAAATGTACAAAATAATGCCTTCCTACTATTAGTATATCTGGTTGGTGCCAACAAAAGAAGAAAAACTAAATTTTGAATAGATCTTTGTAACTGATTTAAGATTGGCATTTAAGAGAAAACTAAATGTCAATTATATTATTATCTCGCAAAATTACTATTCAGTAAGCAATTTTAATTCGAATTTAATTTATATTAATTTATTAATAATAAATAAAGTTTAATTTTACATTTTGTTTTTTAAATTCTTGATACTATTTAAATTAGAAGAAAGATTTAAAATAAAATGAAATATTGTACGATATTTTTAACACGTTCACTATCTCGTGTATCATATGTAATGCACAGTTTTTCTTCCTGCCACACCTGTGCATCACATTTAATGCACAAATACAGTAAAAAATAAAACATTATAAGTATAAAAATTTTTGGTTTGGTCCATTGATATTCTGAAACCTGCAATCTTACAACTGAAGAAAGCAGCTATGTTGAAGGAATAATGATGCATTGTATACACAAATGAAAAGGCGAATATTTAAACTGAGCGCTCTGTTGCTTTGCCGAACATACGTGTAAAGAACGACTACGCTAGAGATCTGGACGGTGAACGTGTTAGCATTATGATGTAAAATATAAAAAATGTATTTGAAAAATTACATATAAGCAATAAAATGAAATAAATATGGAAATTTCACATAGAAATAGCAATCTTATATTTTTATGCATTAAACTCAAGTATTTGAATTTCTTAATTGTTAATAATGTAATATAATAAAATTTTTAAATCAACATTGTACTACTGCTAAAAACTGAAGGCTCAAATGTTATGTTTAATATAACAAATATTTTAAATATAAGTATAGATAGCTTCACTGTTGTGAATCAATGTTTTCATTTTGTATGTTTTAAAATTTATGACTTAATACAATTCCATTATAACTAATAAACTACTTTTTATTTAGTTTCATCAAAAACTAATAAGTATAGTAGTAATTTTAATAAAAAAATATATATGTCTAAAGAATAAATCAGATCAGTATATTTATCCTTAAATTAAACTTTTTTGTTCCTATGCTCAAAAAATTAGAATCTTATAAAAATTATAGTTTTTAAATAACTTTATGTGATGCATTTATAATGCAAATTCAACAATATATAAAAATTAATTTACTGCTACCTAATTTGTAATAAGAGCACAAAAAGAATAAATATTTTATATCATGCAAGTTTAAAACATGCAAGGTACTCACCTACTGAAGGTATGTTGATGCAAAGAGCTTGTGTAAACCTCAGATATGTGCGTCCCAATTCATGAACACAAATTTGAAGAACATCACTGATGTCAATAAGCATATCTGATTAAGTAATTAAGTATATACTTCATTCATGGGCAGTTATAAATAAAAAATAAAAATTATAGCTTAATAAGATTTCATGTTTATAAATAGACATATATTAGCAAAAATAAATTTGAAAAATGTTTATACAAAAAGATATTATTTGGTTTTGATTTGATAAAATATAAAGGATACGTGCAGTGCCTTCTGTACGACAAGTAATGTAAACACAAGCTGCATGATTGTGTGCTTGCTTCCTTCCACGAGTTAATTGACGATTTAATGCCATTTTATAAAAATTCATGGAAGTATCAATACAATGTTGGTTTAATCTGATAAGAAATAAGATATGTATTAAATATTTTGTTAAGTATAATATACAAAATTAGTAAAATCATATTTAATTTTGTTAAAAATACATACTGTAATTGCATACATAAGTGAGTTATTCCTTTTCTTGCATTTTGCAATGTTATTCCTCTTGATTCTTTTCCATTGACATGATATGCTGTAAATATAAAAAAAATAAATATTTAACTTTTGGAATTATGAAAAATATTTAACTCATCTCATAAAAATAAAAAGAATACATAATAGTAGCAAATAAGCATTAATAAATAATAGATGTACAATAACTAATATTTTTTTGGTATCTTTTATAAAATTACATACTTGCTCCAAATCCTGTAGCTCCACCAGTGCTGTCACTAGCAACGAATTGACCAAGCACCATCATATTCCCAGATGGTGTCTCTTTAAACGCTGTTTCACTGACAATAAGCTGATCCTCCAGCACAAAACCACATTCTGTACAGACAGCATCTCCTCGAGCTGGATCTGTTTCAATATTTGTGGATCCACAATTCCGACATTTACTTCCAGACATCTGTTAAATGTTAATGTCACTTAAAAAAATGTCTTTATTATTAATAAAAATTAAAACCATGTTTTCATAACAAAAGAAATTTATGTTTAATTTCAAACATTTATACAACAATGACATTGAAGTGTTGAACCTTTCAGATTTCTTCTTCAAATTATAGAAATTAACTAAAAAAAATTGTCATTATATTAAACAATAATAAGAAAAATATACATTTTAGTTCGTACTTTCAAATTACCTTCCTTATATTATAACCTTTGACGTTTAGTTTCAAATTTACAACTGTAATTATGAGATATTAAGTGTTAAAATTTAAATAATTGCGTCATATAATAATGACACAAAGTCAAACTAATACTTTGTTATACTTCGGTTTACTAAAACTACGTAGAATCAGTATAAATATGAATTTAATTTTTATCTATCAAAATAATATTGATAGGTTAGATTGAAAATACACATCACCGCAAACATGACATAAGGGTTAGGTGCAAAAATGTCGCGGAGAATGTCATGAAAGATAAGTGCATGTATTCAATTCTTTAAATGACGTTTTTTTAGTATGTCATACAAATGTGCCTTTGCGTTTTCATGTAAATTTTTTGTATGATAAAGTAAAATTTAATTTATACTTTACTAACGTAAATAAAAATATAAAAGTGTTTTAAATTAATTTCTTATTGAACTTATAATCTACCCACTAGATACAACATTGTTAAATAGGAATATTATTATTTCTCCTATGTGTAAAATAAAGAACGTGCTTTACGAATATTTAAACGGATTTGAAGATCTTATCGCCTTTGTTATTTAATTATAATTTAGATTCATTACTCATGTAAATTTTACTTACATTTCTAACTTTACTGAAATTTTAAGCAATGTGGAACACTAACATATAACATAGCACCATCTGCAACTGAATATAATAGCAATATCTATTTTGTACTCTAATATTCTTTATTTGTATTATATTCGTACTTATTTTATAAATATATAACGATTAAATTCATATCTATTATTACAAAATATTTGTGATAAATATATTGGTAATATGTGAAATATCAATTAAACGGAAGGTTCAACCCGCGTAAAATTAAAGGGTAAATAATTGTAACCTGTATTTCAATAGAATTAAATAACAAATTTAAGATGCCTTGTGAAATGATAACTTTGCAACTTGGCCAATGCGGTAATCAAAGTAAGTAATTGTATATTTTATGTTTGTATCAAAATAACATTTTGTTTTTCTCTTATTGTTTTATAAATGTAAACAAATATAATGTATTTTCAATTATTTTTATTACTTCACAAATATATTACAAAAATAGTGTTCACGTTTTTTTAATTCTTTACCAAA